CAGACAACCTCTCGTCAATATGCGTTTTTCGCATTGCATTGCTGCAAAAAACGCATAAAAAGGAATAGAATAAAAATTAAAATTTTACTTCTTCGCTCTTGGTGATTTAAATTTCCTTTTCTCCCGTCAGAAACGCCTGGTTCTTCTCTGCCATGCGGGTTTTTTCCTTTTTTTTTTTTTAGAGAATCAAACCTTTATTCACCTCTTCAAAAACAACAATCGCAACACCAAGATTAATCTATTTTCTTTTCCAAAACAACAATTCAAAATCGGTCCACGTTCCGAAACAACAGCCCACCAAACCGTTCCATCCAAATTTTCTTCTTCCAAAAAAAAAACAAACAAAACGCTAATCCACACTCTTCCGTCCCAACAACAACCAACAAAAAACTCAGTCCACGCTCTCGTCCAAGCCACAATCCAATCAGACCGCTCAATCGAGCCTCTTCCAACCCAAAAGCCCCAAAACGTTTCTAAACAACAATCCACAACAACGCCGTATTTGGCAGGAGGTGGACAAAGGAAGCACAGAGGGTCTGACCTTTTGATCCTCACGAAAATAGTCGCGAAAACAACTTTCGCTACAGTAGACTGCCTACCTTACAAATGCCGCATACTAAAATATTTGGCCAACGCACGGGCTGCCCCTGCGAAGATGCGTTTTTTGCATGGTTCCGCACAGTTCTTGTTGCTACCGGCACCGGTTTTTTCCGGCAAATGCTTCAAGCTAAACTAACTAAGACTGGCCGTCAGAGCTGTCAGGAAACATACCCTTAAAATTTCAGCTTTCTAGCTTCCGTGGCCCTTGAGAGAACAAAATTTTTCCGGGCCCGTGCATGTTTACCAAGCATGCCTGAGAGCTGAATTCGAGCTGAATGAAACTTAGGCGGACGGGGTATATCTTCTTAAAATTACATTCCTTTAGCTTTTCAGGTAATTGAGTTGTCAATTTACCCGAAAAAAGTTTTGGCGGGCTCGTACGCTGGTACCACGCTTACCCGGGGCTGGGTTTGAGCTCATTAGCACTTGGTTGGACGGGGAACATCCCCCTAAAATTTCAGCTTTCTAGTCTCAGAACCCCGAGTTATGAACTTACCCGAAAAAAATTTTGGCGGGCTCATACGGGGGTACCACGCTTACCCGGGGGCTGGGCTTGAGCCCACTAATAGCCGCTTGGGCGGGGAATATTACCCCAAGATTTCAGCCTTCTAGTTTCTCAGATCCTCGAGTTATGAACTGATAAAAACTTTGGGGGGCCCGTACGCGGGTACCACGCGGGTTTTGGCGCCCATTTTGGGGATTGGGGGTGGAAACTTTGGCGGGCCCGTACGCGGGTACCACGCGGGTTTTGGCGCCCATTTTGGGGATTGGGGGCGATGCGTGCATGTAGATTAAGCTCCCGAAATTTCAGCCCCCCCCCCCCAGCTTTTATAGGTCCTGAGATGAAACTGCGTGACAGACGCACACACAGACACACAGACGCATAGACACACAGACACACGGACACACAGACAACCTCTCGTCGATATGCGTTTTTCGCATTGCATTGCTGCAAAAAACGCATAAAAATGGGCTCCTGAACATGCATAGGCAGTTATGGATCCTTCATCTCGGTAGGCAGGCATGCATGTAGCACTATCAAAATACACTTACAAAACAGCGTTGTAATTTCTCTGCAGTTTTATGCATTTGGCTCTTACTACCCTGATAGCAAAACGCACCAGAATTTCCGGTACAATTATGCATTTTTGCGCGAATGATGAAGCAGTCGTTTTCAAAGCCTCGGCTCTGCCTGTAAAGGGAAAATTCATCCCAAGTTTGGAACTATTAGCCGCATTAACTGGATGCAGAGCTCTAAATTTTGTCGTCAGACAGACACAACAACCTACCGAGTTACACACATGAAGTGATTTCCAGTGTGTTTTGCATTGGATAGAATCAGCTAAAACAAATCCGGAACGATTTGTAGAAAATTGTTTAATAGAAATTCGAAAGTCATCAGCTGTCTTTCATTACGTTCAGAGCAGCCACAATCCAGCCGACATAGCAACCAGGTGGATTTTACAACATGATTTGAAAAATGAACAGTTATGGTGGACGGGACCGACATGGTTAGCAAAAGAAAAGGCTGAATGGCCGCAGTGGCCACCTTCAAGAAGAACTGAACTTCACGAATTGGAGACGAAGATTTTGAGTATTCAGGACAAAGAAGTGAACCTTGGCATACACAGAGAAGTTGTAGAAATTAAGAAGTATCCTATACATGAACTCTTTGATGTCAATAGATGTGGTAGCTGGTACAAATATCTACATGCGATCATATATGTACTGCGTTTTATTAAACTTACTTCAAGCAACAAAGTCGGCAGTACTAAGCAAGTGTCATCCAGCGGTTTCATTGCACCTGAAGGATACAAAATTACAGAAAAGATTGCTTTTTGCGAGGTGTCAGTAGAAGCAGTAGAAGCATTCCTTCATTGTTTGCGAAGATTCGTAGCTCGACGGTGTGTTCCGGAGGAAATTATAAGTGATAATGCTTCACAGTTTAAACTCGTACAGAAAACGATTGAAAGTTACTGCAGTAAGCAACGGATCAAATGGAAATTTATCACGGAGCATGCGCCATGGCAAGGTGGAATCTACGAACGCCTCATTGGAATGATTATGCGAAAGGCAGTTGGAAGGAAACAACTGTCAGAAAGGAGTCTAGTTACACTTACAGCAGAAGTTGAAAGCATCGTAAACTTCAGGCCTTTGACTCACGTAGCGGATGATGCAGTTGAAGTACTTCGCCCCATTAGTTTCCTACACCCGTACGCTGAATCGCAGCTCGATGTAACTGGCAATGAAGCAACAAGTAGAAGTAGCAGTTCGATAACGACAACAAAGCAAAAACTTCTTGAACAGTGGCAAAAGACATCGACATCGAACAAATTTTGGCAACTGTGGCAGAGCGGATATTTGTCTTTGCTACGAGACAGAACACAAAGGCGTCACCGGCGACCGCGGAGCTTGGTAAAAAAGGGCTCCAATAATCAATGAAATTGTCTTGGTGGAAGAAGAGAACCAACCGAGAGGAGTCTGGAAAATTGAAAAAATTGTGAAATTGTATTTGGGACACGGAAATGTAATTCGTACAGCTTCAGCCCGGATGCCAAGTGGTCATATATTGACAAGGCCTATTAGCTATCTGCCGCCGTTAGAAATTACAAGAGAAATGCAAGTTCCAGCAGTAACAGATCCAAATACTGAAGAAGCAGTTGAATCTATTTCGTAATGGTTGAAAGTTTGGTTGTTAAGTCGTTATGATTATGTCTATATTGGTCGCTAATGTTATTTTATACGGTCGATCGTGATAGAGCATATGAGATCAAGCGAATGGTTGGCTGTTTTGGTATTATCAACAATCCGCGAACAACTGCCTCATTTCTATTGTTATGTTTTTCAGGTTTTTTACCAAATAAGAGTATTTAAACTTTCGATCTTTTTTAAATGCTTAAATTTATTCGGATTTCCAGCAAGAATATTTTGGTACAAAAATTAATTACGTTATCAATGCTTTAAGATTGTTCTAATCTATAACCTTTTAAAAAGCACGTGTTAGCAACGGTTTTGCTCAAGAAGTTACTTTGTTATGCGTTTTTTGCAGCTATGCAATGCAGGTTTTTTACCAAATAAGAGTATTTAAACTTTCGATCTTTTTTAAATGCTTAAATTTATTCGGATTTCCAGCAAGAATATTTTGGTACAAAAATTAATTACGTTATCAATGCTTTAAGATTGTTCTAATCTATAACCTTTTAAAAAGCACGTGTTAGCAACGGTTTTGCTCAAGAAGTTACTTTGTATGCGTTTTTTAGATGCAATGCGAAAAACGCATATTGACGAGAGGTTGTCTGTGTGTGTGTTTGTGCGTTTTTTGCAGCTATGCAATGCAGAAAACGCATATTGACGAGAGGTTGTCTGTGTGTGTGTGTCTGTGTGTTCCGAAACGCGTATTGACGAGAGGTTGCCTGCGTCCGTACTGGATTTCATCTCGAGACCGGCAAAAGCCACAAGGCTGAAACTTTGGGACATAATCCACGTGCATGTACGGGCCCCCATCCCCGAAATGGGCGGTCTTGCCCGCGTGGTACCCACGTAAGAGCCCGCCAAAATTTTTCTCGGGTAAGTTGATAACTCGCGAACCA